GACTATCTTTTCGTGCAAGATTTGTACGTGACGGACAAGGCTGGAAGAAGCGCCGTAGCGGTCAGACCTTGACATGGCGTAGAGGTGTGAAGAAGCTAGCTTCAGTTTTGGCTTTGGTTGGTGCAGCCCGCCTTTTAGGTTGAGGCCCAAGGAAGGAGGATTGTAGTAGGTTAGCGAAACTGAGAGATACGGCCCAGAATAGAAGTCAGTGGCGTAAATGCTGTCCGGTTTGTCTGTCGAAATCCCGTGCCACTTGAAAATAAGACTAACACAAAAAAAAATCTAAAAGTGTACAGTGAAACACAGAAGTTTGTTGTTATTCCTGTCATCTGCTGTTTCCCAATGTAACTGTTTCACCTTCTTTCATTTCATTTTTGTATCCCAATCCACCTGTCCAATGTTTTGGTTATTGCTATTATTGTTGTGTCGTTGGCACCATGGTTGTCCGCACGTTGGTGTTAATTATATTATATATAATATTTTAGAATCAACGAGAACAGAGTAACACTGCCTCTAATAGAACTGTTTCTACAGCCAGGCCTTATATGGACGATCAAATTTAAAGGTGGATACAGTGAAGTTGAAGAATTGGAAGACGAGCCCCTGCGAGTATAACTGCATGTAGCGAAGATTTTGGAGGGTAACGTGCCCAAGATTCTGTCCAGTTCAATCGCCCGTCATATACTGGATTGCAAGGAATGTGGCAAACCTAGGAACACCTTTCGCTTCTTGATCCATTGGAATGGTGGCTGTCTATTAAGAATCGTTTAGGCAGCTGGCAGTTATGTCAACAGACCGATTTTGTGGCCAGCCTCGCACCATCGTGGTTGCTGTCACTGTCTTTCTCCCTCCTCCCTCCCACCTTGCAGTGATTACGCCCCGCGCCTAGTCCGGTTTGAATTCGTGACCTTTGGCCTCCATATTGATTGCTTTCTTTTACCCATGTGTGTTCTCCTGCCCCCTAATCTGTCACTCTTCACCAAATTTGATCTGAATGTATGCACACAGCTGATGAGTTCAGCACGTCATACGATTATGATACTTTCTTTTCCTTGCACTTATGAAAAAGATCCATCAATTCAACGGGGTTAATATGGCATACATTTGCGGAGCAGCCAGTCAGAGGAAGCGTGAGTGGCAAGCAATTAATTTATTTTGAAAACTCATTTGTTTTTCGGTCGAAAGCGGTCTCAAAAAAGCTAATTTAACAGTTTGGTTTTCTGTCACCTCTTTAAGTTATTTGGTCTTGTTACTGAGCGAATCTGCAAACCGCTGAACACAACTTGCTTTTCAATTAAACATTCTATTTTCTCGTTCACTACCTGATCAAGAATCCAGATAGAACAAGTCTATTTAACAGAGTACTTTATTCATACGTTTTCAGCTGTGAGTAACACTTCGTGTGTTTCTAGGCATATGGTGTTTATTTACGCTTTTTATTGCAAAATGGTTTTCGCTAAAATATACCTGCACCTGTCTCAAATATAAGTAAACCGTTTCTACCACCAATATGCATTTCCCTCAATCTGACTTTTTCTTTCCTATACAAATACCTTGATAGATATATGAGTAACACACATGACTTTAGTATGAATCGCTTCTGTCCGATGTTTTAAACGCTTCCGGCTGAAACGGGTCAATTTTCACGTGAATACGGGTTTTGGAATACTGCTGAAAGGGACAACAAAAGTTGTGATCTGCTTTTTTAACGAATTATCTGCAGATTAGTGCATCGTATTGGTTGCAGCATTTCACAGGATATCATATGAGAATAGTAAAATATGGGCTAGAGACGAGATAGGGGAGTTCTTTGATTCCCCAACCAACTTTAATCACAGATTTCGGTCATTGTACAACGCCAGTTGATTGGATTCAAGAATTCTGTTAGTGAGTTACCTGGCAATATCTCCTATGTAACTCACATAGATGTTTTTCTTCAATAAAGAGATTAGGTAATCTGGGAGTGTATTCAATAAAGCTATCGACATAAACCATTTTCGATTTGAGCAATCGGCGCAGTTCTTCCCCAAAGCAATTCACTCTTGAACTCATGATCCAGCCAATGATAACCCAAAGCGCGTGCAGTTAATTGACATAAAAAGATTGGAGGTCAATGATCCGAGGCTAGACATCCAGAAATAAAGAAAAATCAACTGTGAATTGTCCATGATGTCATCAGTCGGTTGAATTCCTGTGGTGGAGAATCAAAGTCTCCTTATAGTTACCCTCATAAATTATTGGGTGAGAATATCCAAGTACTGAACACTATTGCATGGAACATTCTATTTCATCCAGTGGCACCTTCACTGAACTGCCTGGGGACCCAGTAATATGTACAATCGTATCCAAACAAAGTAATAAAACGCACCATTTCGTAACAGACTGCAACAGCCAGCACCGGGGCATGCTGTATCTTCAGCTTGCTCCCGCAATTCTTTCCAAGCTTCGTGGTTGGTACGATTGGCCATCCAAACTAGTTGACAGAGACAACATTCCTGAAAAAGAAAAAGGTAAATAGTGATAAATAATAATAGTAATAATAATAATAATTATTGTTATTATTATTATTATCATTATTATTATACTTCATAGCAACAACTTGAAAGGTATCAGACTTCACAAGAGCTGGCCTCAACCCACAACTTATTTTTCACCCTTAAACGTTCCCTTAGAATAAAGTATCTTCACAGGAAATAACCCTCAATTTATTGGTAAATATGATTCTATAAAGTTGCTCCGAGTTGCCGGTTTTATCGTGATGCAGTTTTCTTCTTCTTTTCCCGCCAGACGGGGTCTTCTCTGAATGTACACAGAAAGCGCAAAAGGCTTTGAACTCTTATGTAGTCTCAAATAGGTTTGTAAAGTTAAAGAAAATGAACAACTAAACTCCAGATTTCATGTAGCACTCGATATTTTCCAGCAGTCAGATATACTTCCAGGAAGGACAATCAATTACTCTTACGACTACATGCACTGTGCATCAGGTCAAATATCTGGCGATCGTAACTGGGTTTGCTGTTTTGCGTTTACCGGTAGCAGGCTAAACGTTGTATTTCTATCCAATCTGCACTAGTTTTTTAAAAGTACACTTACTGCCGATGCGCGAGCGATTAAAACCAGCGACCTACTGATCTAATCATTTCATTCATGGGCCCAGGCCAGTGACACAATCGCGTGCAAGTGCGTGCTAACGTTCCTTGAATCTTAGCCGAATGTAATTCCAATAGTTTATGGCCTAAACTGTACGATACGGATTGGGTGACGGAGAACCACTGTACAGTGGTGGTTGATTGGTATCGCAAAACCTGTTCCGGCATACTCGAGTTTCAATGCAGCATTTATCGGTTGGGTGAAAAGAATGCAACTTATTTTTTCATCTATTTGGTGGGCAATGGTTTTTACCCTATATTACCCTTATGTGTGTTGTTCTGCAACACGAGAACTATAGTGTCATTTGACTCATTGTTGCATTTTGTTTTCTATAATGCTACGCAGATACTTCATGACGGAATCACTTTGCATTTCATAAAGTTAACAGAGGTGGGAATAATTGATTTACGTGAAATCAAACATATATAGCGTAAATTATTTCTGTGGTTGATGGATAGAATAATTAAAAGCGGAACCCTGATTTATAACTGAATGTCTTGGCATAAAACATGTGGCCTGTACTTCCAATGATTGCTGTCATGTCCAATTAAAGTGCAACCGTTCTTGAATGAAGGAATATCCATCACTGCTGGTTGGTAAGAAATATTCCTTATTTTCAAGTTAATCTGTTCCATTGTGCAATTTCCTTAGGCACGGTTTAAAAGCAAGAAAAGTACTGTAGAAACCGTCGCTGATCTGAATAATAAACTATTACAAAATTCAACAGGTGTAACAGATTATCAAATATGTAAACATCCTCACAATAGATAATCGAGTTTATTGATGTTGGGTTGAAAAATCATGGTTAATTTTAGCAAACCATACCTTGGTTACGGCAAGAAAACGCTGCTCAACCAGATTCCTCAAAATAGCTGCTGAGCAATTACTTCCATGATCCTTCAGGATGTGATCAGCACCTATCCGGCATGCCCTGTTTCGTCGGGTTGAGACGCAACACAAGTGTTTAACTCGTTGACACCAAAATCGCCGAGAGAACTCCCGATGTTGTTCGGCGTCTGCAGACNAGGGGGGGGGGGTGGACAAAGTTCTGTGGTAAATTACAATCCAATTGAAAAGAACGTTAAACAATGATTTTCCCGATCACATGATTTTGGTGCTGATCCGTTTGTTAATTACCTTTCCACCATGCGTTCAACTGAAATTTAGGAATTACCACTTCTAACAGAAAAAACTCTTGATCATTAGGATCAGCAGTGTACCCGCCTTTCGATGTTTGAGGCGCATTGTAAACGCAATACAATTGTTGAACTGCTCATCCGATCAGATGCCTATTTCGCTCCACTTGCAGTCATTAACGTCCTGGAATAGTTGGCGTCCCTCATTGCGCTTTTCAAAAGTGACCCGAGTGACAGACACAATGCCACAAACAGTGAATGCTTGATACGCTGGTTCAGTTTTGAACTTATATGATAATTTCAATGGTGAATCCGTCGTGTACATAGCAAACAAAGCGTGAACTGAAAAGCTCAGAAGCACTGGACAGCTGTTTCGATCTGGTTGGGTTTCATCAGCGGTGCGAATCAATCGCCCATCGACCGAGTGGGTAGCATGCTCGTGTTCTGCTCATGAGGTCCTGGGTTCAATTCCCAATTGGGTCGATGGATTCGCACTGCTGATGAGACCCAACCAGGTCGAAACAGCTGTCCAGTGCCTTCAAGCTTTTCAGTTCACGCTTCATTTGCTATATACACGACGAATCTTTGATATTGAACCAAATCCTCCATTACTCACATGAAATATAATAAAATTATACGAGAGCATTGTCAGTAGTGATGTGAACCGCTGTTAAAATATCAGAATATCCTAATGAACGGGTAGAAAATTCTGAGAATCCGTGTAACGAAATCAGAGTTTGGAATTCTTATTTGTAATCCAATATTCGCTTAAGCAACATGGATAGAAGCTTGACTCAGCACACACTATGGTACGTTTTTATTATGTTATAAAGTTCGTGAATGTCTAAAGTACTTTGATCATTCAGTTGTTCCTACACAGCTGTCACAAATGATGGACGCAATAAATGGACCTCCATCAGGAGTAAATTTGCGTGGGTTTTGAAAAAATAAGAAAAAGTCACAAACACAATATTTGCTTCAGTCTATACAAGACGATTGTAGTAGAAATTTGCGCGAAGGAAAAGAAATCGGTTGGCACTTTGAAAATGGAAAGGAAAGTGTGTGCTGAGGAGATCAAATTACCGCGGGCAGCTCTTCCGGAACTTACAACAAACAGAACCAGCAGAGCCAATATGATTTCAATTTACCTGTTCAATGAACCATTTTATTGTCATTTGAAAGGACCAGGTAAATACTCTATATGAGAAATATTTTTTTCAAATATGGTCACAAAGGAACATGAAAATCAGTTTACTTTTGGGCGAACGTTATTTGATTAAAATTAATTTTAAGTAAATCACCAGTTGAACTGTAACCAGTTGATTCAATGCAACTAGCAGAGATTTGAGCTGTTGATCAGTTTGATATCTATCTAAAAAGTGACGCTTGAATGTACAATCATTTAAGTCCTTTTGGATTTCTATAACTTTATAATCATGATTTTTCTTTAAAACATCAATGTTGAATGTCTGTAAAGAACGAGAAAAACGAGATATTATATTTAAAAAACGAATTCGAACTTCACGAAACACCTACAGTGTTTTATGATAGATATGACTTAAGGAACAAGATTGATATTTTGTTCTTGAGAAAAAACGAATACTTGTGCGATTCGGTCCCATGTCAAAGGAACTGATTACTGAAAACACAACGGAGCGATTGAATCGATCTACAGAGCGTCTCCAAATAAACAGAAATGCACGTGACCATGTGCCAACTAGACCAGAAATCCGTTCTTATACTAGTGAGGAGTCAGTTATTATGGTATCAAATCAAGAAGGTAAGTGAAGTGATGGCTGATGATGATGACGGATGATGACTGAATTACAGGAACAACCTTGTTTGCAAAGGAGTTTGTTTTCAATATTCGAATTTGTTTAACATCTACAAACGTGCCTTATTATGAAACGCTGACTTTTCTACTATCGGTTTCTAAATGACATGTTTTGCTAATTGATGTCAATAAATCAAATCTGCGTAACGCAAGTAACATTTCTACGCATTTCACCCATGAGATAAAAATCAATTTGTCAAAATAATTGTTCTTCCTACAACAACCTCATGTGTTTTCTTCAACGCTATATTTTGTTACCTCATTTATGCTCTTGCCTGGCAAAGCGTAAAACAGATATAAAGTGACTATCTTCTTATATCTTATATTCAGAATTTCAGCGCGGTCATTGAACTCAGAAACGTTTACCAGTCTGAGAGAAATATGAATGAACACTAACTTTGGCGAAAAACATAAACTAAAAAAGGACTTGATGGCATTTTGTGACAACTATTATTTCATGCCTATTAGAGAATCGATAGGATATCGAAAACTAATCAAAATGATTGAACATGATGGTCGAGATCGGACCCCGTTTAACCCATGGACTCATGGCCTTTAAAAGAGAGACACAATTTTCACAGATTTCTTAGTTCCAAAGTTGGATATCGGAAAAGAAATTCAATTTGTATAAAGCGGGTGTTCAGGTATGCAGCTGTGGAGAATAACTGAGTGAAAATTTCAGTCGAATTGACAGCTAATATGTTGGATTAACCAGTTGCAACAAACACGCCAATGGCATCGAAATAGCAAAGTATTATAAATGAAAATGTAAGTGAACACCGTGGAAAATACTTGACCAAAATTGCTTCAAATCCGGAAAAATTCACTGTTTGTCGTGTAGTAAAGGTCGGTAAATTATCGCTCCACAGGACTTGTTCAAATCCAACCCCCACCACCCGGCGTTTCTCATTCTGTGTTGTGCGACATCCTTTTGAGTGGCCGCTTTTCCGTTCCTGAAAATTCTGTCATTATGCATTCGACAAAAGGTAGTGTAATACAAAGGATGAAAAAAGGATAAGAAAAAAAGAAAGAAGCTGATTCTCATCCATATCATTGAATTGTAAACAACATTTTAGGAATTCCTCCCACATATGACTGAAATTTTACCCGGGATAATTGCTTGCAAATAAACACATCAAACTCACTTGTAAAGGGGCAGATATTTCTAATTGTAATACGGATGCACAAGTTTCCACGGTTTCATTGTTACTGAAACCGACGAATTCAATGGTCTGAGCTGCAGTCCTTCCGAGTGAGCAGCAACTTTCGAACAGAGATTCAACTGTCGAGCTGGATGAACTGGTCAGAACAGGTCCCATGGACCAAGAATGATTGAGTAACAGTAGGAGAATGATGAGAAATTGTGGGACTCTCTGCGAACGATGATATGTGAATTTTGGACTGTACAGGGACGGGATTCCTCTGGGACTGGTGAAAAGTGACATATCTGAAATTGAACACCAGTAAATGTAAATAAAATAAGCGAAGAAATTCAACTCTTGGGTTTTCCGAACGTTACTAACAAGAGAAGAGCTTCGAAACCGTTCCATCTGCACATCCTACATTTGGTTATAAATGAAATCAGAGTAGACCGTAAAATAAATTATTCTAATGAATTTCTTATATTCATGTTATGCAACCTGTTGACCGCACTTCATCCACCTATTTCCTTTTGGGCATAAGTTTTCATGTTTTCCATTACTTCCTGACTTTACCTAGATGAATTATTTGGTATTATGCAGCCATCGTCTACTTTGTCTATCGCTCACAGTCTACCAGTGGTAATTACGCTACAGTTTGTATGTTTAAGTTTTATTCTGTCTGTTTCCTAAGCCGTGCTTTCCCCTGCACATATTTTACTCAACCCCAAAGTCTCTGACAACCCCTATCATCCAAACGTTCTTTACTGTAATTATGTAAATTATTATATATGGTACTATTGCATGACAGTTCAGTTTATTTATTTGGCTTAAAAAACTGACTGAGAGCATACAAAATTGATGCAAAATACTAATTCTGTTTATATTGTTACTTTTCTTTTTTAGATGAATCAAAGAGAAAGGATGTTTTTAAAGCTCGAACGTCATTTGTACAATAAGAAATAAATCATAAATCATGATGTATTTATTTTTTTTCACGTTTGAAAGAAACACGTTTCGAAGGCTAAACCTTCTTCTTTAACAATATTGCTGACAAAAATATTTATTGCAGTCTAATTTCCAAACCGTTATATAATCTGCGGTGTTGGAAGTCAATCAAAAATTAAGAATAAAACTGTAACCGATCCAGTTGATCCAAAATCACTTGTTAGGTAGGTAAAACGGGAGGAAGAAAACTGGACGAATAGAGATCCGTCAAGCCATATCCGACTTGATTCCACTTTGGTGCGTCGCTTTTCAGACAGGGCTCAGCTTTTCTAATTGTGGAATCAACGTTTTTGATTGAAAAAAAACATTCCATGTGTGATGAAGTTACTAGGTGATGACTAAAACCGTATAGCCCTATCAGCCAATTTGTTGGTCACCCGGTCCCATAAAATAACCTGGGTTTTGTCCCATTTTGACACTCCTCTGCTTCACGGAATCCTTCCTTTTCTCCTTTAATGCTCGATTGCTGTTCAAACATAATTTGCGCTCATCAGATAAACATTGATATTGAGATCACAAAGCGAGCACTGAAGATTCTTCAAAGGTTAATAATAACAGTTGAATTTTTCAAGCCAGGTTAGATGATTACCGGGATTCAGTTTTGTACTCAACGAATAGGGTGAGAACATTTTTGTTACTTTCCTCCTTGGAAAAATAATTTGAAGTCCGCAATAAATTAGTTTACTACTCACGAAAAAAAGCGCACTTTCAGAGATGTTTACAAATTCAAAGTGCGCTGTTTGTGTGAGAATATGAACGCAGTTGACCCCGAACATTTGTTCAAACTGCTCGTTGCACAAATTTCAATTTTGTTTTGACTTAATCCAATGTGAATAGGCATTTTTATTCACCGATTAGGAACATCGTGTTTTTCAATTCCCAGAGAGCTTTAGTAGACCACTGAGGGCCGTTTGAAAACTAACGACCGATTTTTCCGAATACTAGTTTCAATCACATCGTTCACCGTGAATTAGTAACAAATATCACATCAGATCACTCTGTGACCCCATGACTACAGCCGTTTTTCATCACCGAATAGCCCATTGGTTTCCGTATTCGATGGTAGGCGTATGTGTATATTATAAACACAGTTAAATTTGGCGCCGTGGATGATCATTACTGATTGGGCATTATTACACTGGCGTGTACATTGTTACGTAGAACCGTGAATCTAAGTGCTGGATGACACTCACACGCATTTCAAGCTAAATTCTTAAAGTGATTCGGTGATGATAATGAGTAGCAAATTTTTTTGACAGAAATCTTGGACGGCTTGCCCTAAATAATGCGCATTCCCCATTGTATCTGTCTTAGTACAGAAACATACCGTCCCAAACGTTACGTTTATTGTGGCTTAAATATGTCAAAAATAGACGAAAATTGTATGGTAGTTTTTTAATAAAAGTATTATGCCTTTTTCAGACACCGAACCGGACACTGCTATTGGTGAATTGTCCCATTTCAAATTTGTTATTCATTCGTTTTTCACAAATCGTTTCGAAATCATTTGGAGTGAATATTTTCTAGTAGTATTCAACACTGAAAGTCGGTTCGCCTAGCTCGGGTGAACTGAATTCAATTCCAACTGTTCACCGCGATTAACGATTTGTTCGCAAACGTTTCATAACCAGCCAATTTAAAATCTTCAGTGCTAGTGAAGTGGAATATGGCACTTTGGATCGATCATTTTTCTGATTTCATGTTCACTCAAAACTCTCAACTTATTTGGTTTCTTATAAACTGGTAAAACAAGAAGTGAGACTTTGCTGACCCGAATTGAACACAATGGTGATGACTACCGTTTATTTGCTGATACTAGTGGACTACTCTTTGTCCACCCGGTCACCGTCGAAATGTGTAGCTTGTCTTATTCCATCACTGTCCAAATGACCTAACTTTCTGCTCCTTTTCTGGAATAAAGTAATGGAATGCCCTACGATCCAGACAACGTGAAGTATCACGTGATTAATGGGATCGGATTAGAAGTGCAATGTTACTGGCAGCAAACGAGGCTAGTGGGCCTGATAAATCGGATCTCTTTAATAAATCACAAGTTCTAATGTACAGGAACTGATACATGGAAACAAACTGGGACCAAAACAAGACACGGTGGTATCTGCAACGTCACTCACGAGAACAACTGAACCGGTTTGCCTGGTGCAAGGAAAGTAAATGTTTTCTGGGGTAACCATCGAAGACTCTTCCAGCTTATACACACAAACCGAGTTTTTGAAATTTTGTTCAGGAAAACCACCAGCAATAAAAGTGATCAATCCATTCAAAATGAAACAAAACTGCGGAATCGCTGAGTAAAGTCCGGTGCTGGCCAGTATAATCCTGTGGGTGCAATTAAAGCTCGTTTCTTCATTTCACTCGAGGTTCCAGCATAACCAAAAGTTCTAATTTGTTTTCCAGCTCTGTGAGAAGACGGTACCTGGACTCGATGCATTTCTACTTTTATTTTCAAGTCAGAAGGTGCATTTGCAATTTTACGTCACGCAGCTCGTCAGAGAAGCTAATCCCATCATCTCGGGC